GTGCTCATAAAACAGATGGCACTAAGCAACAGTTGACAATATTAAAATTAAAGTAATATTCTGAAGCATTGCACCAGTTCAATTACTGTTATCACCACTGTCTGTTGTCATTAGATGTGTTTATAGATACTGATTTCTTAGCAAAAGTGTCCTTAAATTTCAACTTGACTAACAACTTAACAGGTTTTTAAGGCTTCAGTGTGCTATCCATATAGACGAGATAAAAGTATAACATCCTCCTGAAATGAAACTGCCAGGAAGACTTTATCTTATTATGATGGTCTGCCAGCTAAAACAACTACAAAGTTCTAACTGGCCAGCCAATCTCACTGACAGATTACCCTTGTCATAATAATGACACAGGTTTGTGTGCAGCAGAACTGAGTTTCAACAACATCCGCCATCCAAGGTATGCAATGCAGTCATTTCAGACTGCAGAGCCCAGAGATGAATGAGAACCATAACAGAAAGTGAAAACTGCAATACACTGAAACCTGGCACTGTGGTTGATTTGGTTAGGTTCAGTATGATAGTACTGTATGCCTCATAAAAACATAATCTGAGGAAACTGTCTGAGGACTGGCTTTTGAATGTGTGTGAGCTGAGGTTATCTTCACCTGAGATGTGTTGAATCACATTTTAAAACTATTCTTTGCCTACACAGCAATCACCTGACTGGAAAAGCCTCGCTCCGGGGGAAGAGGAGACCTTGTTTTAGCTTTGATGTAGCCCCAACAGCAACAAGACATCACCCTCACATGTTAAGATGCTTAGTGTTGCAGCTACTTGCTCATGGTGACAGTGATCCAGATGCCACTAAACTCGATTTTGACATTTGAGATGATAAGGAGACACAAACTCTCAGATCCACAAACAGACACTTTAAGATAGTGCCCAAACACCATGTAGTTGTCTGAACCAGCAACTGTGGAGCCCCATATAGCTAGATGTTATTTACAAGTTGTTTACAGTTATTTGTTAATGAAAATGAGACAAAGGAGAGAAGGAAAAGTAAACATGATACTGACAGAAGTAGAGAAAACTGCAATTGATATTTAAATATTGTAAATTAGCAATGGACCCCTGTGTGGGTCTACTGTGTCCTTCTTTACCCTCATGCCACCCAATCCCTTAAAGAAAATAACTTTTTCATAGGAGATGGTACTCCTCTATATTTAGAGGTAAGCTGTAAAGCCTCCTGGGTATGGTGTGAAACATTTAAAGAAACTGGAGTGATCACATGATTGGTAACAAAAACCTAAAAAAAAAAAAACCCTTCACATTTGGTTTTAAGGTCAGAGTTCATACCTGAATCAGACAATGATTAAACAATAACAAACTCCTGATGCTGAGCAATTGAAAACTTTCCATAGGACATTTTTTGTCTCACTTTTTCTCTCATTAATAATCATTGCTGGGTCTTTACACACTGTTTATCAGTGCTGGAATGCAACATTTTGCTCTGGAGGTGCTTATTGTAACATTTACATGGTATTTACGAGGGCTTCCATATACGTACCTTCACCTGAACGTTATGATTGCATTTTTTCTGGTACAAGTTTGCTATATCAATTCAAGGCTCTTTCTAGGCCCTGAGTTTATTTTCACATGACAGACATAAATTATACTGAACAAGCCAAACACTGCATGCATGGACTGCTTGATGCTTATGAGAGTGTGGAACAACCATTGAATTGAACGTGCATTGACTTCTTAAGTGGTTGCCAGTTGTTAAAGTGGAATATTAGGCCTATGGTGAAAAGAGACTAGCAAGTGTGTGTTTAAGGCTTCTAATAACTACTGGTACTATTCTCTGAGAATGAACAGGACTTGGTAGACATAGAGTCAGCTGGCTGGTGTGTTGGTCTCTCACTTTTGTCGTTTTCATGATATGACATGCAATGTAATGAGGAGCAGAGATGACATAATGGATACCAGAGAAGCTAATGTCATCATCATCCATGCTCACATGACGCTAATGTGTATGGTGTTTTTTTTTTTTTTTAAATACACTGACTCTTCTACACCAGTCCAGGTGCTGTAAATTAACATCAGTCATTTCATCCATCCATGCACTAAACCAGTTTTCTTAATCTTAATCTTTCTAAACCACCTGAACCACCTGTCTATTTTGTCATATATATTTTTACAGTGGAAATTATATATTATATTTTCTTTTATTATGATGCATTCGATGTGAATTTAAATATGGATTGTGCCATCACATTGTATTTCAATTGTTTCTTTTTAATGCTACTCTGCTGTTTTGGACTTAATCCACATTTTTATATCAACAATGGATAACTGTGTGAAAAGTGTTGCTTATAATGATAAAAGCACAGAAAGAACTTAACACTGAACAACTCACAATTTAATGAGCATGTAATGTGCCTTGTGTCGTTTGAGCAAGTGTCACTTACCAAATGTAGTATAAAAGGGGTGACAGTGGTGCGGTGAGTAGAGCAGTGGTCTCCCAACCGGAAGGTTAAAAGTTCGAATCTCGGTGCCTGCAGTCCACATGTCAAAGTGTCCTTGGGTAAGACACTGAACCCCCAGTTGCCTGTGATGGTGGCGCGTATGCACGCAGTGGCCCGGGGCCCTCGGCTCCAAACAAAATTTTGTTGTACATGTTACAATGAAATAAAGCTTCTTCTTCTTCCAAAGTTTCTAGGACTTAAAAAAATAATCAAGTCATAAACATGATATTGATGTAAAGAAAGAGTCTTCATGCGTATATGATCAAAGATGATTTCAACTCTTATTGAAACAGCTGTGATTTGAGGTTCTACATAAATCTAATCAATTCTGACTAACTCATTGTCAGAAGTTTCAGTTCCACATCCTAATTTCCCATGTGTGTACAATGCTGCAGCATGTGTCTCCTCTTTCCCATAGTGTGTAGTTATGGCCGAGGATACATTCATATCTCTACAGGAAACCTCAACCAATTTGAAGTTCATGTTCTTCCTTCCTCAAAGCAGCATTTTCTATACAGTACTGCTATTCTCCAGCAGCCGTTCCGTGTAGGCTAGTGGTTAAGGGGCAGCGCTCTAAGTTCGAGTCGGGGGTGCATCAGGGAGGGGGTC